ATATATATATATATATATATATATATATAAATAACACAAAAAATTGCACAGAAATGATCAAGAGAGAAAATAATAAAAAGAGAAAACGGTAAATGACAATAAATTTTAAATAATTTCTGTGCTTTCTTTCGTACCAAATACTTTCACGTTAATTTTTATTTATTTTTTCAGAATTTGAGTTGATTGGTATTTGCAGACTTTTTATTCTTTTACCACTCTCATGCATCAAGATTATTCTCATTTTAAAGTTTTTTTCCTCTTATATTTTATATCCCTAGATAAATAAATAAAATAAAACTTGAAATTCTTTTGCTACACATTTAACTAATTTAAACTTATTAGTTACTTTAAATAATCTATTAAATACTTCATTTTTCTCTTTTACATCTCATTACATATCAAATACTTCTCGTTTACATTAGGTGCATATTATTTAAACAAGTATGCGATAAATTATTTTTATACGTAATTCATGTATCTAAGAAAAATCTAGGAATCCCATTAACTATATGAAAAATTTTCAATGAACATTTTTCATTAAAATTAGTAGATTCTTTTTCTTCTCAATAATAGAAAGTTTGCGAAACTAAATTTACTTGTGCATTAAACTTACAACAGCATTAAATCATTACAGTTTCTAATCAAATTGCACTTTTTAATCAATAGGAAAAAAATACTGACGTCTCTAAGACTTTTCTTTTAAAACTATAATTTAATTTGATCTCCAATCTTAATTTGAACTATTATATAAAGAATTCCTTATAAGAACATATTAATCTTATAAATTGTTTTGTTATGGTAATTCATATAAACATCTTTATGTGAAAATTTATACTCCAGTTAATTTTTGATTTAGTAAAAAAAATTGTATTTTATTTATTTCTAATTTTTTGTTTGCCTTTCTTTCCTCTCAATTAAATTATTCAGTGACAAGAATTTTCTTTTTCGTTCTGATAACAATATATTTAGAGAGAATGAAACAATATTTCCTCTGCATTAAATAGCTCATTTAGATTACACGTGATATGTGGGACTGTTTCATCTGCAGTAAATAACAGGTTTGATAAAATAAAATTGTTGACACATAATGTTAATTAAGTCATCTTTGTTCCAAGCTGAACTAATTTAAAAGATGAAAGTACAGTATGAAATTATAATAAAAGGACTGTTTTACCATACTGTGAGCAATCAACATGTGAGAGTTATACTTGTAAGAAACTCTTGCAAAGTAAGATTTTTAGTTAGAAAAAAAACATAACTGACCTCTCCAGTGTCAATTAATGCAAAAGCTGATTGGATGTCCGAAGTCTTGACCGATTGTGCAGGTGACAGTTGACCAGTGACTTCCACAGAATTCACATCATCATCAGGAGTGCCCTTCCGTTTTTGCCCCACCGGGCTATCGTGGGTGGACAAGGGACTCATTTGAGACATCATCCGGATGAGCCGGGGACAATAGGGATGATCCCCCCAAAGTGTAAACAAATAAAAAGACCTCAAGGCATACGGTGAGAAGAATTCGCCGGGAAAATGTCCGTCAATAAACACACAGGGAATGAACCAGAAAGCCCCCCTGGGGGCCTAGTCGTGAAATCAAAGAAACCTTTTGAGACATTAGATTAGGCCTAGCGGAACCGTCTTCGCGGTTTTTCGGCGATAGAGTAGAAACTAAAGCACCTGCGAGGTAAGTGGTGCGTCACTCATGCCTGCAAGGTTTTTCGGCGGCCTTACGTCAACTAGAAAGCTTCAAACAGGTAAGAAGATTCGTTGGCAAGACCTTGGCATCAGATCGCTGAATTGGCAAAATGACCCTAGCATATTTGGCGACCGCCTAATTAAAGACTTTCGGGGATAACCCATTTCCTTCTGTGGTCCAAAGAAGTTGTCTCTATTTATTCTGAAGAATCGAAATAAAAGAATATCAACCAAACATATATAATGTGATAAGAATGAATCCTCTTAAAATTCTCTAAGAAGGGATTCAATGTTCGCTTTATTTTTTAAAATCTTTTTGATACTTTCATTTAAAAAAAATTATTTTCTTAAACTCTCAATTGGGTAATAAAAAGTTTACTGGCTACGCATTTAACCAGATAGGTTTACAGCAGAGCGACGAATTTTAAGAGTACAATAAATGCATAAAAAGTGAAGTTTTCTTAATCATTCCATTTACGGAATAAAGTCAATTGTATTCCGAATAAATCAAAAACAGTTTTTCCTTTAAAATTTAAAGTTAAAATTAGGTTATTCGATCACAAGTTATTCAATTATTTATTATAAAAAACAACCATAGAAATCGTTTTTTTCTTTTTTAAATCTTACATTGTATGCCTTACGTAATGTAAAAAGTATAATAGTTTTCACCAACTATCATTCAGACATTAGATAGCTCTTTATTTACTAAATTAATAAAATATTATGAATTAGACAGCAATTTTGCGTAAAAGATCCATCAGTAAATTTGAAAAAAATACTTTTTTTTTAAAATATTTTCTTTCCCTCTATAATTGCTTGAATAAAAAAAAAAAGAGAGACTTCATTTTAACAAAATCGTGAAGATCGGTATGGAGTTTTTATTCATTATAATTAAAAACAAAAGGAAGAAAAAAAATGAGAATAATTACAAAAGTTTTAATGGGATACATGATGGGTCTGTTATCCTGTCAAACATTTGGTTATTTTCATTTGGTCTGATTTATTATAATTTTTCATTCCGTAAAAAAATTTGACTGCTGTATGACACAACCTTCAGGTAAGACGCATTGTATTTTTTAATAAAGAAACGATTATTAAAGAAATTAAAGGCCGATAGATTTTTATTTAATATTCTTATATATAACAAAAATGAATAAAGGATATGATTACAGGACAAGTATAAGGGATAAGTATAAATAAGGTATTCGAGACTTTTTTTCCCTTCCTTTTCCAAATTTTCTTTACTTATTGTTTGAACTTTAGATCCTGATTATTAGATGAGACGTAGAGAAAATTCTTATCAGTTTTTTAACAATAAAAAAAAAAGATTTGGGCTTTTTGTATGGAAAAATATACTCAATAAATTTTTTTCTTTACTCAAACCCATTTTGGAAGCAACTTTTGGGATTTTTAGAATTTTCTTTTTATAGAACGCTTTTTTTTTTAAACAGTCAAAATCCTTAATTCGTTTTCCAAATAAAAAAGCCGCGAAAAAAAGTTACGAAGATTCTCACGGCATTTGGCGATCTCAAAAAATAAGAAAAAACAATAATGAAAGTAAAATAAAATTCTCATTAAAGCAACCATGCGAGCTGACGGGGGCTAGTAGAGAGTTTTACCTTTACGAGGTGGCAACGCCGGAGATACCTGTCCGGACAACTTTTGTCGAAGTAACGATGATCGCCACTGCAAGATAGGTAGAGGGGGGCTTACCTATCAAGGGGGGGAATGCAAGATTCTGGGGGAACTTGAGGGGAGTGAGGTCCTCAACTGAAGTTCTCTTTGGCATAGAAGACACTTGCCAATTGATGGGTTAGAGAAAGCAGGGGGAAAAAAGCTATGATCTATCCCCCTCATCTAAGTATTGGAGGATGGTCAGGTAGAAGATTCCCCCCCTCTTTATCTCCCCCATCCCCCTTACCTGTACGGCGCCGACGGCATTCTTTGAGAGTATGCTTGTTTGGGGTCGGTCTCTAATTGCCAAGTAGCGTTGAGGTTTTTATCTTTAATATTTTTTTTTATTACTGGCTTATTATTAAGGTTGTCAAACGATTGCTTTTCAAAAGCTATTTTTCTTTGGGCCGTTTTTAATCGATTTTTTTTCTTCTTCCCTTTCTCTCTCCCACCGGTAGTTTGAAAAATGTTTGTTTCGTAACCACTTGATTTCTAAAAGGGTTATGAAATACTTCGTTGCCAAAAAAGAGGGGAACATCTTCTTATACCCCATAGAAAGTCATCTCGCGAAAAACGTCTGGAAGAAGATTGCAATGCATGTTGAATTTCTGAAAGGTTTTTATTATTTTTTCCCCCCTTCACAAGTGAGGTCAACGCGCCTCGCGATTTAGTAATGACAAAGAGTTTAATAACCTCTTCATTAAATCTCATTTTTGATTTAAATAGAATGCAATGTCGAAAATGTCTTTAGAAATGCAAAAACAGAGAATTTCTTCGCATACCAAGATTTAAAACACACTCTCTTTTCTAAGAACATCGGAACTTGTAAATGATCGGATGACGACTCAATGTCAAAAACCAGTGTGTAATGATCAGTTGAACCAGTGTGCTGCACATTTTCGGTCGGGTACAAAATCAAAAGAGGATGCACGTTTTTGTTTTCTGTTCATCGTTTTCATTTATTCTTTTATTCTATTTCGGAATAATAAATTTTTCTTCAAATATATCGATGAGCCGTGGAGACTGAGAGGATAGAGTGTTCGCACTCCAATAAGGTAAACCGGGTTCGAATCCCAACGATGACTGGTCTATACTAGCCGATACTGGCCGATAGCCCGGCTCTCACAGACTGAAATGCTGGCGTAAAATAACCTCTTTGGTAGATGGATCATAGGTTAGAGTCCCCTTGCCATTCCGTGGGAGGATTTGGTGGTTTTCCTCTTCATGAAACGCAAATTCGGGTTAGTTCCATCAAAAAGTCCTCCACGAAGTCTTGAACTAGGAGCTCCCTTGCCCTTTGGATTGGATTCAAAATTAAGAGCCTACGTAGTTGAACATAACTAATCGTAAACCCAAAAATGGGTTCGGTTGTTCAACGACGGTTATAAAATAAAATATATCGATAACTAAAAAATAAGACATGTGTAGTTAAGATAACCGAGAAATGGCATTTTCGGCCAGTTTACCAGTGATTCACCGAAATCTTTTTGACTGAAAATTTCACGAATAATCCGAAGTTCGGGAGAAAGGTAAATCTCAGCTGTTGGTTTGAAATATTTTTCTCCATCTTAATTATGTCTCACAAAATATGACTTACATGGGAATATATTTTGGTCTTATAAATCACTAAAAATGAACTCTGCGCTGAGGAAAACAATAAAAATCTAAAATCAGAATTATTCTAAATTTGAAATAATTAGTTCGATAAATGGGTAAAATAATATGGTATGGAGGAGTAAACGAGCTATTAAGAACTTCGAATTTCATAGTTTCAATTATTTTAGGAAAACAAACGTAAAGAGTTGGAGTGATATTTCTTCCAATCAAGCAAAGCGACGACTTTTTTGTCGCCTTATTTCAAACAATGTTTGGCTGCAGATAATATCCCACTTTTTAAATAATTTTCAAAGAAAAGAAAAGAGAAAATTGAAATCAACATTTTAATCAAAATGGTACTGGCATAGAGCTTTCGATTTTATACACATTATATTAAGTACTCGAACAAATTGTTCAATTTTTGAAAAATACAAAAAATTCAATTCAAAATTCGATTCTATTCACTTCATTATTCAATTTTTGATCTTCATGCCTCAACCACGGTCATTTATTTATTTCTGCATGCATATATCGGAATTATTTCAATAGCGTGCTTGTATAGTTACATGATTAAGGAGTGAGTTTGATGATCAATGCAAGCACTATAAGAAATTAGATGACTAATATTAGTTTGAGTGGTTAGATGATTAATAAAATAGCTTACCATAAGATAAATATTGAAGTAAAACTTATTTACAAGTTTATTTGTGTAGAAGTGCGAATTTGCTAGAATATTATCTATGTTGTATCTGTTAAGAGCTTAAACTGATAACCTAAACAAAGTCAGGCAAATGATATTTTTTTCAAAATTTTAAGTCAAATCCTTAAAAAAAAAACTTAAAAANTGAAAAAAAAAAAAAAGAAAAAAAAAGCATCTTATTATCAATTTTTGTCTTTCAGTTACTAATGTTAAAGTTTAAATGTTTCTGTCTTTTGGGGGAAAATATATATATATATATAATTAAAAAAAAAGAATTTAAATTATATCGGTATATTTTATATCGGTATATCTCATATTGTTCATAAAGTATTCATCTTCTTAAAGAATTTCTAGAAGTAGAGTCTTTAAACTAATATAATAAATTTAATTTTTATAACCATTTTTTAGGCATAAAAAAGTATCTTTTTAAAAAAAAATTCCATGTTATTTTTAAAAACTTTTTAAACTAGCAAGTTATACTTATTCAAATACTCTCCTATTACATGAAACTTCAACATACATGACTGATGAAGTTATGTCAACAGCAGAAGACAGCCGCACCTAATCCTCCCCTGCAGTTTAGAAAGCCTAGAGATCACTAAGCCAAAGGATTAAAGGAGTAACAGGCGTCACTTAACCTTTTATCACTTTTCAACAAAAGAAATGAAGGAAAAACTTGACACTTGCTTCGTTTCCATTGTCCAGAGATTCACCCTACTCATCCATGTAGAAGACCCCATCCTTTTTGAAAGCAGCCAGCCATGTTATGAGACTTAAGTCGAGCGTTACAGAGCAACAGTTACGCGGAACTGTTACTTTCCACTCTAGAGGCGTGTAAATTGACCGACATATGTCACCATTGTTCAAACTCAAAAATAAATTGGCGATAATATATTCATTACATTGGTAATATATATATATATGTATAAATGAAAGTCTGTCTGTTAAATTACTCAATGATGTTTAATAACTGTTGATAATATGCATTTATTGAAATAACAGAATGACCTATGTACTAAACAGCAAAGTTAATGGAGAAAAGATAGACTTATTCGTTTTTGGAATATTAATATTCACCATATTAT